GCAGAGGATGACTGCACGAGGGAGTGGCCGCCTTGGCCTCCTCTGCCCGCCTCGAACCGCTTGGCTCAAGAGCTCCGCCGGCGGCGGCGAGAGAAAGATAACGCCTTGTCAGTCAGTCACGGGCGAAAGCCGGGCTGGCCCACCTGGAGCCTGTCCTGGGACTCACGGAGGGAGGGAGGGAGGGAACCTCTGCTTTCCCGCGCCATCCCCATGCGGAGAATTTCAAAAGGGGGAAAAGGAAAGCAGCTGCCGTCTCAGGGGTCTCTCCTCACGACGCCTTTTTACCACCGGGGGGGAGGGGAAATGGCCCCCTCCCAGCCGTGCTGGAGTCAACCTTCGGACGCTTTTTGTTGTTGGTCGCCTTAAAGTGGACCCCGCACTTTCCTGTGCTATCACGGCGCAAAATAAATAAATAAAACACAGAGATTCGGGGCACAATTTGTTCTGGAATCTTCTCTTTATTTTTAGATGTGGATCCCACCCTCACAGATCGTAGCTCTCACGCCGCCCGTGGAGCTCATAGCAAAAACTGGCGGCAACTCTGCCCCTCCCACCGTGCCACCGCCGAATCGCGGATCACGCGCGTCCCCCTGGGCTGCCACAGCCGTAAAAATCATTAACCGGTGCTATTGAGAATATGCTTTCCTTTCCTAGAGTGCAGCCCTCCTGCATCCGAAGTGGGCCGCCGTCCAAAAGAGCTTGGTCCAAAAAAAAGATTTGTTAATCTTTAAGGTGCCAGAAGCTTCTCCCTTGTTTTCTGAAACAGAATCACGTCCCCATCACCTGTCTTCCCAAACCGCCCAAAATCTCCTCTCTGTCACTGCTCTGGCATAGCAAGAGGGATCCTTATCCGTGCCTGGCATTCAGTAGATCTGATGCGTTGCTGCAGCGGAGAGACTCTCTGTAAAAACCACCAGGGTGAGAGCCCTGTGGGTTCCAGAAAGCTTGAAGGGGGGGGGAGCTTTCTCCACTGGATTAAGGAATTACACATCTGGAAGTGGACAAATAATTTCATTACACTTGGCTCGTAAGTGTTGAAAGGTGTGTGATTCTCACAGCAGGAGCATTTCTCACCTCCCATAGTTTTCCAATTATCTTTTTTGGGTTTTGCAATTGGTCATTGAGAGGTAAATCAGGCTGGATTTGCAATTATGATTGCTCAGATTTGAAGGACTGCTGGCATCATGTCTCTGAGACATTAATATGATTTTGGCTTCTAAGGAGGTGCTATCTGCAACTTTGATTAGAAGAATGAGAGATGCTTGGGTGGACAAAGGGTGCAATCATGCAGGTGTATGTTTGTCCCACAGTTTAGCTCAGGTTGGGGATTTTCTTGGGCCCATGTCAGGGGCTGCTGTGGGTCCCCCCCTCTGTGTGTGTGTGTGTGTGTGCAGGATCACTCCATTTTGGTTCAGTTCCAGAGTGTGTGATCGCTGAGATTGAACCAAAGAGGGTGGCTTCTTCAATTATTTAAAATATATTTATCCTATTTTTCTCAAAAAAGGAACCCAGATCCCTTTTTACAGTACTAAAAATAAACAATGTAAAAACAATGAATTATTACAATATTTTAAAAAAGAATGAAAAAAATATCTTATTGAAAACTCACTGTTCCTTTGCTTAAGCCACTTAATGATCTCAAGAAATGGGAAGCTTCCTTGCCACTGGTCTGTAGAAGGGAAGGGTAGGAAAATTATCAACAGTTAAAAAGAAACTGAAATCTTTCTCTCCCTTCCCCTCTGCAGACCAGCAGCAAAGAAGCTTTCTATTTGGCAAAGCACTGAGAAGCAGAGGGATTTTTCTTTTTTGTTCCACCCTCCTTTCCTTTAAAGGGGAAAGAAGATTGGTCTACAATCATTTTAATCAAGCTTGCTTGAGGTGTGGCAAAGTCAATATCTACATATAAATGCAAGGATTGCCCCAAATGATATATCACACTTCAAAGAGTTCCTGTTTAGAACAGTATAGACCAGTGGTTCCCAACCTTGGGTAACCCAGATGTTCTTGGACTGCAACTCCCAGAAGTCTTCACCACCAGCTGTGCTAGCTGGGGCTTCTGCGAGTTTCAGCCCAAAAATACTTGGGTTACCCAAGGTTTGGAACCACTGGTCTAGACCAGTGGTTCTTAACCTTAGGTTACTCAGGTGTTTTTGAACTGCAACTCCCAGAAACCCCAGCCAGCACAGCTGGTGGTGAAGACTTCTGGGAGTTGCAGTCCAAAAACACCGGAGTGACCCAAGGTTAAGAACCACTGGTCTAGACCAATCCAGCCCAGCATAATTGAGCTGCCTAGTCACACCAAAAGCTTTTCAGTGCATGCCAAGATTCACTGAGAAGGATTTGAACCCCTGTTGCCATTCTGGTACACATCAACTTAAGCTGCAAGACTGAATTTCTGCATACTTTTCCTTTTTAAATAGCTAAGCTATTCACTTAAACTCCAAAACACAAGCTCTAGTTGGTTGTTGTTCATTCCCAATATCCCTCGGAGCAGTAGTTTCTACCTTGTGGAGGATATTGTTGGACTAGAATTCACACAACCTCTTCTATTAAGCTTAGTGGCTCAGGATTCTGGGAGATGGAGTCTAATGAAATATAGGGATGGTTGTCCAATGAAATATAGGTACCCAAACTTGGAAATAAGTATCTTATAGCTGTTCATGAAGACAAGCTTTGCTAAACACACTTTCTGCCCTACAGTCTCTACTTTCACAGGTGGCTTTAGTTGTTATCTCCACTTGTGGCACAAATTGGATGATACTGGGAATTGCAGAGGAATTCAGAAGTGGGGGGGGGCATGAAGAACAATGTGTGTTGTGGTGACCTTTAAAGAATTGTTTAATCCCTGCCATTCTATGAAGCTTTGAAATGGGCTCTATGACTGCAATGTACAGTAATTGAGGACAAATCCCACTGAACCCAGCAAGACTTACTTCTGATTAAAAATACTGTATGCTGAATTAGGTTATATGACCTATAGTCAGAGTGTGGCCCAATGTCATGACTGACATTAGAATTGCAGGAGTCATTAGACACTGCTTCCCTCTGCCCTGGGGTTCTGTTGTCTTATCTCCTCCCCCTTCTGAGTCTATACCTGGCTAACTTTATTTGTGCATTTGCAGTTTGTTAATCTCTTTGGTTTAAAGAAAAGTGTCAGAGAGAAATGAAAAGAAAGCCAAGTGCCAGTTTAGCACTCTTTGAGTTTTAAGTTATTATTGATCAGGATTCTCTGAGGGTGTGACATTTGAAGCAAGTGGAAAGGAAATGTACATTTAGATTTGATTAATGGAAAAGGAAATATCCCCAAATAACTCATCTGCTCTCCTGTCTGTCTGACTGGGAAGAGGAGTCTCCCTGTCTCTCAATCTTGCTCTCTTTCCTCTGCCAAGCTCTGGGCTGCAAGACAAGTGCACACTTTCACTCCAAGCGTTCCATCAAACATTCCAGTCACGGGCATTTGCTTTCGAGGGGGAAGCACTTGGGCACTCTTCGTTTGAGAAGATGTTCAGATAAAGTGCAGTTTGTTTCCAAGACTGAGTAGGCACTTTGTCTCTTGTTGCATAATGCCCATTTTCTTGGAGCTGGTATAATACAGTGTAATTGCCTTCTAGTGCAGAGTCCAAAATGAGAAGGTGCCTGTAAGACAAGGCAGAGGAAGTGATTCCAACTCTAAGCAGTTCTAAGACTAAATGAGCAAGCATCTGTAATATATGCCTTATTCTCTCTCTCTCTCTCTCTCTCTCTCACTCACTCACTCACACACACACACACATACACACACACAGAGAGAGAGACTCATGACTACTGAGCATGAGAGAGAGAGAGAGAGAGAGAGACTCATGACTACTGAGCACGTGGTTGGTTGATGATGGCCAGCCTCATTCACTACCAATCCTGGCTGATATGCCAATGTCCTGTTCTTCAGTAAATGTTCTGTCTCAGTGTCCTTAATTAACTATGGCTGGGACTACTTGTATTGTGACTTGGTCAACAGAGTGAGGGAGAAGTGCAGTTTGGAAAAGCTTTTTTTTTCCCCCTATAAATTCCAGAAGTCTCTAAAACACATTCCAGCAAACTATACACTGAGAGAGGTAGTTCTAAAAAAGAATGCTCTAAAGCTCCGAGCAGGAGATCCTGTGGCATAGGATCAGAAAGGGTTGCACTCTTATTAATTTGATGGCAGTCGATGGGTTTTAGCACACTTTTGACGAATTTTAAAATTCTGTTGTTTTTCAAACTGTAGCTTTACTTTATCCTCCATAGAACAGAATAGCAGGACCAAAATATTTGTCCTGCAGTTGGTTCGTGGCATTAGATACTCTGCAAGCATAAAAATTGGAGGACTTTCATCTGATGACACACAGGTGGACAATATGCAGCCCTCCAGAGGTTGTTGGGCCATAGTTCCAAGCATCCCTTGCCACTGACCATACAAGCTAGGGCTGATGGGGACTGCAATCCAACAACCTCTGGAGCACCACATTTTATTTTGCAGTTGATGTAAAGCAGTGGTTCCCAACCTTGGGTAACCCAGATGTTCTTGGTCTGCAACTCCTAGAAGCCTTCACCTTCAGCTGTGCTGACTGGGGTTTCTGAGAACTGAAGTCCAAGAATGTTTGGTTTACCCAAGGATGGGACCTAGACATAGTCATGAAACCACCAGTTTAGCAGTT